CAATATCAACCGATGAGGTTGCACGGATAAGGTCCAATCACAATTGCTCCCTCTCATGGAACTGGATGTTGGTGATTGGTCGGCTCTTCCTGGGCTACCAATAGTCATTGAGGGATTTGGACCCTAGCCCAGGACGAAGCTTCACATAGTGATTCAATCAGGGTGTTCACATGCATACATTTGACAGATTGAATACACCACAGCTCCTGAATCTGGAAGTTCTACTGAGTTACTACAGCTCACAGCAGCTCACAGACCTATCCTCCATTAATCACTCTGAGGATATGACAACAGCCTATTCCAGTGTCCTTCCACCACGGATAGCCAGATGACACGGGGAAACTCACCGGCAGGGCATGATGCCAGCAGCTCCCCCTGCCCCACTGCTTATCCCCAGTAACTGGTATGCAGACATCTGTTGCCTCTGAACCTGGAGGTTCTATTTAACCGTCACGCCCACCCATTTGCAAAGCTAGACACTAATGGAGATGTTCAGGTCACTTGGTTCTGAGTCCCATACGAAGTTATCTACTGACGCCACCATAGAGCGTACGCAGCCCTGATTCCTACTATCGGGTCTGATTCAATAATTTTTATTTAGGCTTTTAAATTAGGATATATTTTCCATCTCAGTCCTTCAACGTAATATGAAACCAAAGAAATGAAGATGATCACATGACATACGAGAAGCGTCCGCCCTGGTCTAAATGGCGTGCCCTAGGGTTGCGTGAAACCTCTGGAACCCCTTTAAAGGTCTTTAAAACAGATCTGTATTCGAGTGATCCATGTAATGCTTTCCCCCGCGTGAAGGGAGCTAGGGAACTCCTGTGCTTGGAGCTCTCCCCTGCCATTTATAAACAAGCAGGGCAGCAGCTGCTGAAGCGAAAGGCGTATTTCCTTAGCAGGCGGTCACATGGAGGCAGGCACCCCGTGAGTGTCGAGCAAAGGCTCCACAGAACAGATCCCCTGTTCATGCCTTGCAGCGGGGAGAGGCTTCTCGAAAGAAAGAAAGGGCTCGCTTCATCAAGCTGGCCTGCATAAAACTGAGCTCTGAACGGAGGCGGCTCTGGTTACCTCTCACAATTCACTCAGGCCGTCCATGAAGCCGCTCGGAATGGCAGCCTGCAAAGAGATAAGTGGATCCTCGGGATACCCAGAACCAAGAGGAGGAAACGGGCAAAGGCGGCTGAAAGTTATAATGAGGGGCAGCAGCTTAAGCCAGTTTGGTGTAGTGGTGTAGTGCGTGGACTCTAATCTGGGAGAACCGGGTTTGATTCCCCACTCCTCCACTTGCACCTGGCTGGATGACCTTGGGCAAGCCGTAGTTCTAATAAGAGCTGTTCTTGAAAAAGAGCAGTTTCTGTCAGAGCTCTCTCAGCCCACCTACCTCGCAGGGTGTCTGTTGTGGGGAGGGGAAGGGAAAGGAGCTCGTAAGCTGCTCTGATACACCTTTGGGTAGTGAAGGGCGGGGTATAAATCCAATCTCTTCTTCTGGATGACCTTGGGCAAGCCATAGTTCTGGCACAGCTGTTCTTGAAAAAGAGTAGTTTCTGTCAGAGCTCTCTCAGCCCCACCTACCTCACAGGGTGTCTGTTGTGGGGAGGGGAAGGGGAAGGAGATTGTCAGCCACTCTGAGACTCCTTCGGGTAGTGAAGGGCGGAGTATAAATCCAATCTCCTCCTTACAAAAACTTTGACGTCATGGAGAACTGATCCATCGGTAGCTATTGGGCACAAACTGCTAAGGATGGAATACTCATACCTATAGGCATCATGTACTGGGGAGGACTAGATGTGGATACCGATAGCACCAAAGTGCTCAGCCGGATAAAAAGCCAAGGGCCATTTCCTTGAGATGTTCCTCCCCAGCTCAGAGTATATACAGAGCTAAGCGCTTACAAGTCAGCGAGGAGCCCTGGCAAATGCAATTTCCCTACCTCCCTATTGATTACTCAGTCAGGTGCCTGGAAACACACACCACAGCATCCCTGGCACCCTGGAGGCTGCTATGCCCACATGTCAGGTACCCGGGAGGAACAGAGAGGCATCCTGTTGTGAAGGGTACCACATTCCTGTTTCAAAGGGGTCTCCTGTTACTGCCATTGCCAGTGCCTTTTGAGTGAAGATGGGAGGAGAAAAGCAGGGCTCAGAGTCTTGTTGAAGGAGGAACTGCAAAAGGGTTGAGGCAGTGCCCGGGCCCTTTTGCCATTCCTATAATGTCATCAGGAGCACAACAAAAATTTTCTTGTTTTGAAAAACCATTGGCTTTTTCAAATATGGAGAGGGGGGGATTGCTCACACAGCCTGGGAGCCTGCGAGGAATTGCAGGGTGTCGGAACAATATGAAAATCCCACTTTGCCCAAAAAACCTCTCCCTCCAGGACTCTTCCGTGAGGACGTTAGATCACACATATGCTGATAGTCCTGTGTTCCAAGTTTGTGCAGGCCCAACTGGGATCAAAACCAAGGTGCATGAGGAGAGGCCATTTTCCTGATCTGAGTCCATCATTACACACAAGTTCCCTCCACATGGTTGGCTTCACGAGGGAACTGGATAAACATATGGAGCAGAGGTCCATCAGTGGCTATTAGCCACAAGGTATAGGTAGGAACTCTCGGTCTGGGGCAAGTGATGCCCTGTATTCTTGGTGCTTGGGGGAGGGCAACTGTGGGAGGGCTTCTAGTGTCCTGGCCCCACTGGTGGACCTCCTGATGACACCTGGTATTTTTGACCACTGTGTGACAGAGTGTTGGGCTGGATGGGCCTTTGGCCTGATCCAGCACTGGCTTCTCTTATGTTCTTAATGGGGCCATTTCAGCTCAGACAAGCAGTGGGGCGGATCCAGCCATCCTTCAAGGAGCCTTCCTCCAGCCTAAGGAGTCTACTTCTGACTTAAGAGGCTCTTCTTCCAAAGGAAAAGCTACTTAAGTTGGGAAAAGTCTAATTAGATTGAAGGAAGGCTTCAAACTTTAGCCAAAAGGAAGGTGGGACATACCTATTTTAATTGATAAACAGACAAACTTCGCTCAGTGGAGTGAAGATGGGTATCATTCTGGCCTTTCCAATAATCTTTCTCACCATATCAGGAGGATATTTTAGTTGCAAAAATGCCTGCCGTATATCCTTCAAGTGAGTATCTCTGTCTGAGGGGATGGAGCAGATGCGACTAAAGTGTTGGGCGTAGCTATACGCAATGGTTGGGGTGGTAGTTGTAAAGTGTTGGGCGTAGCTATACGCAATGGATTGGTTGGGGTGGTAGTTAGAGACATCTAGATATGTTTGCTGATCTGTCGGCTTCTGGTATAATATGATACTTATGTGTGCCTCATGTGTCTGTACTGTGGCAGGAGGTGGGAAGTGCCCAGTCAAGGTTTTCAGGGTGTATCCATATAAACCCCTCAGACAGAGATACTCACTT